TATAGGTAGTGACTATCAATTTTTGTAAGCCTTTCTTATTCTTCTATGATCTCAGGATCCCCTCTCATTCGGATGTGGTATCGGTTCATTCATGTACCCCTCCTCTCTACCCAGGCGTCACATGCCCACTAGTTTCCGCTTTGGTTTGTCCCCGAACCACATCGTACTGGGAGAGGTTCCGCTCTGATACCAAACTAACACGACCCACCCCAAAACACCACTAGTTCTAAAACAAGTCGCACTAACCACAGACCCCAACCAACTACATAGTCTATAGTCAAACTTCTTGTAACGCCTAGGCCCAAGATTCAGACCAAGATTGGGAATCTGGATTTGGCACTAATTGCCCCAGGATTCCCCTGCATTCCCCGCGACCTGGCCGCGACACCGTCTAGTTCGAAGCTTCTTAGAAGAGTGTAGACTATCCCTACAGACCAACACGAGTCCTTTCAGCATGCTTTGTCCTCACTCACATGCTTCCTAGTAAAGCAACTAGGAGGTCACTCAGCTGAAGATTGCTCCAAGTCAAGCACGCTTAACTTCCTCGTACTTTGAGTGATTATGATGGTATCTGGGTGATAGTGGGCAGATTGACTAAAACTGCTCGTTTTTTGCCGATTAAAATCACTTATACGCTTGATAAACTGGCTAAATTATATGTGGATGAGATAGTTAGTTTATATGGAACTCCTGTATCTATTATGTCTGATAGAGATACTAGGTTTACATCTAAGTTCTGGCCTAGTTTGCAGGAAGTCTTAGGTACTAAATTATATTTTAGTACAACTTTTCATCCTCAGACAGATGGGCAGTCAGAGGGAACGATCCAAACTTTAGAGGATACGTTACGAGCTTGTGTTTCATAGTTCAAGGGTAATTGAGATACTCATTTGCCTTTCATGGAATTTGCTTATACTAATAGTTATCATTCCAGTATAGAGATGGCACCGTTTGAAGCATTGTATGGCAGAAAATGTCGAACTCCAGTCTGTTGGGATGAAGTTGGAAAAAGAAAGTTAACGGGACCTGAGCTTGTTCAGATTAATACTAATAAGGTGAAAATAATTAGAGAAAATATGAAAATAGCACATGACAGACAGAAAAATTATGCTGATAAATGTCGGAAAGATCTTGAATTTTTAGTAGGTGATAAAGTTTTTCTGCGCTTATCACCTTAGAAAGGTGTTTTGAGATTTGGCAGGAAAGGGAAATTGAGCCCTAGATATATTGGTCCGTATGAGATTATTGAGTGTGTTGGGCCAGTAGCATATCGTCTAGCACTACCTATAGCTTTCCAGGATTCATGATGTGTTTCATGTTTCTATGTTACGTGAGTATGTACCTGATCCATCGCATATTCTCGAATAACAACCAGTGTAGTTAAGTGATAACTTGTCATATGAAAAGAAGCCGATGCAGATTTTAGACAGAAAAGAACAGGTGTTACGAAATAAGACTATTTCATTGGTTAAAGTCTTGTGGAGGAATCATGCAGTAGAAGAGGCAACCTGGGAAAGTGAGGATCAGATGCGTACCCAATACCCCCATCTATTTTCTTGATTGTTCTGATTGAATTTCGAGGACGGAATTCTCAAAAGGAGGTAATATTTTGTAAGGGCATTTCTGTAATTTTGAGATGAAAAAAAAAAGAGAAAATTCACTTTTGTGTAAAAAAAATTGGAAAAATGAGGTACATGTGTGTGATGTGTAAGTGAACACATGGCGAGGAGAAAAAAAAAGAAAAAGAAAGAAAAGAAAGGAAACGAAAGAAAAAAAAAGGATCCTTGGTAGTGTGTGAAATCGAAACAGAGGGGAAGAGGAATAAGCCAATGGTGATGAGCAAAGAATGAAGGGGAGAACTTTTAAATCAATTTCAGATTTGGGAACTAGAATCTGGTAAGTTTTGGGGATTTAAGCCAAGAATCTGTAGGATATAGAATGCCTAATAAGTTTAATTTGTGGGTTTTGTTAATCACAAATTTGTTTGAGGCTGTGAATGTTCTAGGATTTTAAGAAAATAATTGTGACCCTTGTCTGAGATGGTGAATGGCTTGTGCTAATGTAGGATTTGTGAATTCATTCCTTGAGTTATTTAAGAGGAGAAGGAATGTAATGTTAGCAAATGAAGGGGGTATGGACTGCTGTAGAAGGAAGGGTATGAAATTAGATATATGTTTTCTCACTGTGATGGCTGAAAAAAATGTATTTGTTTTGGATAGCATAATGAAGGTTTTTGTGGGGGTGAGGAAGAAGAAGATGAATGGGTTGAGGAAGAAGATGATGAATAGTTGTGGGGGAGAGAGAAATTGGTGTGTTAAATTAAATAAGGAAGAAAAACAATTTGTTGGGAAATTGTGCCAATTACGTGAGAAAGGGAATTTGAAAGGTAAAGAAAGTGAGCCAAACCGAGTATAGCTCAAGTGGTTAAGACACCTATCTCTGACAAAAAGGTCATGAGTTCGAACCCTACCCCCACATATTGTACTAAAAAAAAAAAAAGAATGGTAAAGAAAGTGAGATATTGGTTCCACTTGTAAAGACAAAGATGGGAAGAAAGATGATCGGGTTGTAGAGAGAGAATAAGGTTGTTGATTGGAGATTTAAATTGGGATTAACTATGTATTCAAACTTGTTAGTTATTATTTTAGGACAGACAGAAATTGGAGCAGCATACAATCTAAATTCACTATATTCGTAAGATTTGTGAGTGGTTGTTTTATTAAATGTTTTGGATATTATTATTGATTTGTGAGTGGTCATTTTACAAATGTTTTAGATATCTATTATTATAGAATTTCAAGAAAATATATATTACGTATGATTTATCATTCCTATTGAGAAATTGTGTTTGCTGAGAATTTAGAAATGTTTTCAGAATTTAGAAATGCTTTATGATTTAGAAAAATGTTTGAGAAAGTTATGAAATATTTTAGAAAGAGATTTTAGAAATGATTTGAGAAAGTTAGAAAAGTTCTTAGAAAGAAGGAAGAAAGAATTTTAAAACAGTTTGTGAGATTGATAATAGTTTTCAAACCACCATATTGTTATATCCAAGTAATTATTCGTATGCTATAAGAGTGTGTTTCTATAGTATACCAAGAAATAAAAGGTCTTTGGGAACATTTGACTCCACGCATTGAGAGAATTATTCTCTTCTGTATTGAGATTACTCTATCAGTAGACTAGAAATAGAATTATTCTACTGTGTCTATTGAGATTACTCTGCGCTAGTAGATCATAACATAATATGGACACATATGTAGTGTTGAGTTTTCTTAACCTGTTTTATGTTTGAAATAAGATATTTTACATGAATTTAGAAAGTGGTTTTTAGAAATTGTGTGTTAGTTACCAGTTATTACAAGAAACCTTACTGAGTTTTAGTTACTAAGTTTTATGAAGTTTTATGAGAAAGTTTATTAATTCAGTTTCATAATGTTCGTAAATATTGAGAATTTCAATTGTTTATTAAAGAAGGTTTACGAAATTATTCTGCCTCTCACTGAGTTTCCTAACTCAGTGTTTATCATTGTTTTCTCCACCAGGCTGTACCTGAATTTAAAAGAGATAGCCGACCAGTTTCTGCCTCTCAGCGTCTCAGAACTTGCATATCATTTTGTACGTACATTTAGAATGACTTATAATAGATTAGTTGCACCTTTTGTAATTGTTCAGCATGTTTAGAAGTCGTGGAAGAATAGCTATTTCTGAATTAAATTATGTTATACTTTGTGTTGTATATATTAGAGAATAATCTTAATTAGTTTTAGAAATTTAGAAAGAAGTTTGACTACGGACTATGTAGTTAGTTGGGGTATGTGGTTGGCGCGACTTGTTCTAGAACTAGTATGTCTTTTGAGGCGGGTCGTGTCAGTTTGATATCAAAGCGAAACCTCTCCCAGTACGACGTCGTTCGTGGATGAACCAAGGCAGAAACTAGTGGGCATGTGACGCCCGTGTAGGGAGGAATGGTACATGAATGAACCGATACCACATCCGAAATCATAGAAGAATGGTCAAAAAAGGCTTAAAATAATTGATAGTCACTACCTATACTAATAAGGTGCACCTTTCTTTTCGGTAACTCAATTGTAAGAACTCCAAAGTTAAGCGTGCTTGATGAGGGAATAACTTGTGTTGGTCGTCTCGTTCCGAGGTCGGTCATTTCCTCTTATAGTCAAAGCCCGATATTTCTGGGTTCGTCCCAGTGGCCTTCATTTTTCCTCTTCTGGGGTCACACTCTCGAGACTTCGAGCTTTGGGAGTCTGCCCGGGTTTTAGGTTTCCAACCTATCGGCAGCTTGGACACGCCGGTCAAGTCTTCAGATCTTTTGGCTCTCGGTTGCTTGATGTTTGGGAACCATCCATCATGGCTAGCGGTTGAGCGATCTGACAGACTTCGCGATGATAGCTGTAATTCCCACCAACGACGCCAACTGTTGACTCGAAAATCTACCAAGGCACGGGACGACCTGGGAGATTGGTCAGCACTAGAATTTGTCTTCTGGGGGTACCTGCAAAACGGGTAGGTCACTCCGACGCCCAAGTCAGTTTGAATCCGAGTTTAACATATCAGCTTCAGATAGATTTTGTACCTTGACTCGTTGAGTGGTGGAGTATTTGTAAGGCCATTGGGGTAGATAGCTGTCCCATCTGGGTATTTCCATGCTCGTGTCTGGCTTCTCTAAGCGACCTCGGGTCCACACGTTCGACCGGTCCTTACTCCGTCTTTAGCAAACGAGTCCCGACGTCTGGCTTATTTTCTAAGTATATGATGCCGACCTATTAGGTCGGCCTTCTCGAAATTATCRGAATAGGTCGGCCATGCATAGTAAGACCCCAAATTATTTCGTCAAACAGTCATACCTCTCGATCAATCACATCCATATTTTCATGTAACCACGACATTTCCACGAAACAAATCAACCTTTACAATCGTGCCCATAGTTATTTTGAACTTAGTTCAATTGTTAAAACTTCTATTAACAAATGAAAAGTCGTGAGTTCACGCCCAAAACCAAAACCGTGTACATGACAGTTCAAAAAGGGGAAACTCAAACAAGAGGTGCCTGAAGTTCACTGTGAAGATCCACGAAAACTTCACTCAGCCGTTCTTGGATCAATCCAGAAATCTGAGATTCTTTCATCCCACGCTGCCTGAGCTCTTCTGGAAACCAGCGATTAGGGTTTTTGTATCTTCAATTTTGATACATCTTCTTCTTCTTCTTCATGGTCGTATTAGCAGATTTATGACTCCCAAAGAATCAGTCTCACGAACCACTGCCGAACCCAGGTACCCAGTGGCTGAATTAACTCCTCCCCTTTTTTGTTTCTGCATTGCGATTATGATCGACCCCTGTTGATCCTGCAAACCAAATTAAAAGCTGCATCTGAATAATTAATTTTATAGAATTCATCACTTGGGGTTGCAATTGCACTCTAGGGCTGTCTAATCGCTCGATTTCAATCTCAATTTTGTTCTGCGGAAGCTCGTGGCTTAACAATGGGTGATTACCACTTCGTTTACAAGGACGTTGAAGGAGCCTCCACTCAGTGGGATGACATTCAGGCAAAGCTTGGAAACCTGCCTCCGAAGCCTGCTCCGTTCAAGCCCGCACCCTTCACCCCCGCCCAAGACGAGGCCTCCCTCCCCAAAGACAAGTCCTGGATCGACCAAAAGTCCCAGGAGGAGCTCGAACATCTCGAGGACGATCTCGATCTCGATGATGACAACTTTCTCCAAGAGTACAGGTTGCTTTTCTCTTCCTTCATTACTCTGTATGTTGGCTTGTTGCTCAATTTCATTGAGGGAAAGTAATTAAGTTAGTAAAATTTATTTTACTTGATGCCTAATTGGGTAGTTTGGTGGCTACAAGGAGATCGGATGACATTGACTACTTTGTTAATTGAAGGAGATCTTAATTTTTCTTTTCTATTTGTCAATTCTGCAAAATTTTATTTTCAATTAGCTTTTCACCATCTTGTTTAATACCTAATTTTTGTTCTTTATCCAATTTCTTACTGTAAGCTATATCCTTTGAACATCTGTAACAAAGAAAAAATCTACAACAAAATCTCTAAATTTGGTGCAACCTCATTCTCTGGATAGGAAAAGAAGGTTGGCGGAGATGAGAGAAGCAGTTAAAATCTCCAAATTTGGGTCAATAAATCCAATATCCGGCTCGGATTTTGTGCGAGAGGTTTCACAGGCTCCATCGGATGTTTGGGTTATAGTCATTCTTTACAAAGAAGGGTACCATCATCAAACACTCTGAACGCTTTTATTATTGTTCTTGCTTACTTTCTTGTGTTAATAATATTTTCTATGTTCATGTTATGCTATGATTTTGTCATAGAATTCAAGAATGCGATGTGCTGATGAATTGTTTGCAAGAACTGGCGACCAGATATCCAGCAACAAAATTTGTTAAAATAATATCCACAGATTGCATTCCCAACTACCCAGATTGTAATCTTCCTACTCTGTTGGTGTACAACAATGGTGCAGTGAAAGCAAATTACGTGGGACTGCGAAGTTTCGGAAGAAGATGCACGCCAGAAGGTATGTATAACTAAGCACGCCTCGTTTGCTTTATTTGTGCAAAAAAAGAAATTCTCTGCAACTTTTTTTGGAGTTGGTGAGTAAATAACATTGCAGTGATGTACAACAGATCTTTCACTGAGATGTGGTAGTACAAATTACAACACTTCTCATAATGGTTGCATTTGAAACCTGTGTTATATTGTTAAGTTATAAGAATTTATCGATTCAATCTATCTGAGTAATTCATCAATTCTAGTACGCTTTCTTGGTTGCTTTTGTGATTTGTAAAACACGTGTTATAAAGGAAGCTTTATGAATCATGATGGGATTGTCTAGGGATCAATAAGGGCTAATGTAAATAGTAAAGGGTTTAGAGGGAATGGGTTCAAACCATAATGGCCACCTACATAAGATCTAATATCCTATGAATTTCCTTGTCAACCAAATGTAGTAGGGTCAGGCGGTTGACCCGTAGTTAGTCGAAGTGCGTGCAACTAGCCCGGATACACGGATATCAAAAAAAAGAAAAAAAAAAACTTTACGAAGCTTGGTTGTAGAGAAATCAAAGGTTTTCTAACTCAACAATAATGACTTCTCTTCTGGTTGGAACTGAATGTCTCCAACTTCTAGCCTCTAAAATTACACCTTCAAATTGACGCATTATGTTCCCATGGTATATAAATATTTAACCGAGCGACGTTTTTATTAGAGATCTCTACCTGCAAGTGTTAGGCAGCCTTGACCGGTATGTGTTAACAGGGAAGCCTGAATGCTGTTCCAACAGGGAAGCCCGAAGGCTGTTCCGACGCTGTCAGGGGAGAGTCCAACCATCTCTCCTTTAATCAAACACCCCACTAATGTTTTTATTGCATAGTGTTCTATTTGATACTTTTAATAGAATATTTAGAGATGAAAAAATTTCTGAAACTACTCATCCAAGATGTTAAGCTTCTGGGATCTCGATATGCTGAAAATGATGATGTAAAATAATGTAAATATTGTTTAATCAACAAGTAAATCTATGTTTATGGTTTTCAGGCGTTGCATTAGTTCTTTGTCAAGCAGATCCGGTGCTTAACGATGGTAAGTCTGGAAATGATGGATCCCGAAAATCTGTGCTCGAAGGAGTATGCAGAAAGCTAATTGAGAAAGTGGTGACGGAGCATGAAGATGAGAACGACGATGGGGATTCTGAGTGATTAGATTTTCAAACCCTTGCTTTCTTCCTTGCTTTTCCTCTGCTTTAGTTGGAGCTTGAAAATCTTTGGTTGCCATAGTTTGCGGTTTTATCCATCAAATGTTTCATTATCTAGTGATGCTTATTTATGTTTGATCAAAAAAGGA